TAATCAAGAGCACATTTTCAGGTACGTGGATTCTTATTTGTGTTTGATCATTGAGTTCTGATTTCTTGATTTTTAATTTCTATATCGGATCCACAACGTCGTAGTTTACGTTGCGGATTCAGATTTTCAGCTGTAAATCCAATGGAAGATTGTTAAAAAAAAAAAAATAAGCCTGAGAGGATAATAGAGGTCCTTGTTTGATGCACTGGCGTTAGTTTTTATTGGATTTTATTATTTTGATCTTAATCTTGTGGTGTAATTGGATTTTGCAGCTTTTTATTTGATGTGCATGCTCTTTATATGCATTTTAGGTTGATGTTTTTAGTATCCTGGGAATATGATTTGTTTTTGAAATGTTTGTTTCAGGAGAAAGTTAGCTAGGACTGTGAATTTCAGCTGCGAAAAAGTCTTAAGGTCTAATCAGAGTATCTGTATATTGGAAATGACTACATCCAAGCAAGATCCTTATGTTGTTCAGCGGGGTATTCAACTGTTTGATTGCGATCCGTATGTCAATTATCATGGACAGTATTTCAAGGAGGATCATCATGACACAGAATGTTGCAATGTGGAAAATGATGAGCTTGTTGCACATGCTCTTCAAGAGGAGCTGTCACAACTTTCAGTTGTTAAAGAACAGGGATCTCCAAATGAAGGGGAAACGGATTTACAAGTGTCTGGTTACCAACAGGATGGGGTTTGTCAATCTATAGGAAATTATGGTTCTGGTATGTGAAAAATTCAAAATTGATAATTTGGTTATTTTACCAAATTGTAATTGGCGGATATCTTTTGCTATTGCTTTATTGTGTTCATTCTGTTTGTGATTTTTAGGTCAGGATTGTGGCCAGGAGGAGCAAGATGATGTTGGACCTTCCAGTTCATGGTCTAGGCCTAAAGAAAACTTGTACCACAAGGATGATTTGCTGTTTTCGCTCGATCTGACAGATGAGTGTGCCCTAGATGGTGAAGTGGGGAAAATGCTGAATCAGATGGTTCCAGTGCCTGTAAGTGCAAAATCAATAATGGCAACACTTTCAGAATGCAATCATATTTCTATGCATTTGTATGTCTCGACACATGTCTCTGGCCTATGCTTATTTTCTGAAAAATTGAGACTTCATTTGCATAGCTTTTGTTGGTCTCTGTTATGTAAAGAATCTTTTCAACAAGTTGCTTGAAGCTTTGGCTTTTACAATATGAGAGTTTTAGTTAGACCTATATAGTTTAAAAATTCCATGCCTTTTGATTTTTTTTTTTTTTGTGTGTAGCATATCCCAAGAATAAATGGAGAAATACCCTCAGTTGATGTAGCAACCTCGGATCATCAAAGGCTGCTTGAAAGGTTTGTTGTCTTACATTCTGGATCTAGAATTTTCTGCAAATGCTTAAATTTCCATCTTTCATTCTGTGTATGCTTTCAAATAAATGATGTAGAAAGTTTTCCTTGTATAGATTGCAGGTATATAATTTGGTTGAGCTTAAAGTTCAAGGAGATGGTAACTGTCAGGTAAAATTTTTAAGCTTGCAGCATATGTATGCTTTAGAATTCCCTTGGGTTTTATTTTGTTTAAAGCAATGTTAAGACAGCATGGATATCTTAGTTAAAAATGAATTACAAAGCTCAATGAAGATTTTGAAAGTCCTACAGTTTCTTATTCTTTAGGCAATAAATCAGGAAATTGCTTATTGTTTAATGAAGACTTGATTATCATCCACACTCTTCCATTTCTAGTTGTCAGTGCTTTAGCAACTGAGGTTTCAAAGAAAATTGAAGAAGTTCATTGTCTTTTTTGGCATCGTGGAGTTCTGAAAGAATGAATCCAACAAGTAGAGTCAACAGAATTGTCCAGAACTTGTTTTTACCTCTATAAAACATATTCTATGCTGACATTCCTCAAAAAGTTGTTGTTGTTGCAACTACTAGCTTCATATTTCTATAAACCCCCCCCCCCCCTTTTTTCTCTCTCCACTCGCCTACCACCACTCAAATGAGGGGGATGGCTTCATGGAGCTGTTATCTAACTTCCAATTTCATTCCATATATGAGAATGAAGTTAAAGTTAAATGTCTTTCTTGCATATATTTTTAGAAGCATATAGCAGTTTTTTTTATTACAGAAGCATATGGCATATTAAGCATTGATAACTTACATATTTCAGTTGCTGATAACCTTTTTGTTCTAAAATGTGGTGACATAGATAGTAGATCATGGTGCATTTTGGTCCATTGCTTTTAAATCTCAAATATTTCACTTTTGTGCTGTGACATATTCTCCTTTGGCCATGAGGCTCACTGATAATTTGCAATGATACAAATGAATGTGTTATGCTCATTAAGTTTATAATGTCACCAGTTTCGTGCCCTTTCTGATCAATTCTACCGAACCCCTGAGCACCATGAATTTGTGAGGCAACAAGTTGTAAATCAGGTCTATCTTTCACTTGTGTTATTAAACTTAGCTTATAAGCCTATGTTATTCTCTTGAAATTTAGTCATTTTGGATTTGGCAATTTGGCATATTTGATGTTGATTTTTTTCTTGCTATATTTTGCACATTTAGCTTAAGTCTTGTCCAGAGATATATGAAGGATATGTTCCCATGGCTTACAATGACTACCTGGAGAAAATGTCTAGGTATTTTCTTAATCATTGACTTATTTTTGCCTCAGTTACAGATTTTTCTTTATCTAATTTTTTTGTCATGTATGCTAATAGGAGTGGTGAATGGGGTGATCATGTCACCTTGCAGGCTGCTGCTGATTCGGTATATGCTATAACTATCCATATTTCACATTCTCTTGTTTATGGTGGATTGTACATTTTGACTTCTCAAAATTTAGGGTAACACATTTAGTTAATCTGGCCAGCAATATATCATATTTATGCTGTTTTGATTAATTTAGAAAAAAAAAAAAGAGAACAAGAAGAAAGATAAGGGGTGAAAATACAGAGTTGAATTATCAGCAGCTAAAATATAGCCATGCAGATGTGACTACTACTATATGTGTGAATATCAGAATATGCAACTCCAGTCTATATATGTCTGTAGCAGTAGCACACACATCAGCAATCAGCGATCTAATGCATTCCATCAACTTGTTGCAGTATGGTGTTAAAATATTTGTTATAACATCTTTCAAAGACACATGCTACATTGAGATTCTTCCAAATGTCCCAAGGTCAAAACGAGGTACAGTTTCTATCATTACCACTTCCATTAGTTTCTTTTCAAGAATCTAGGATTTAAATTGTTTTTCTATTCTTGGACTTTTATCATAGTTTTGAGTTGCAATTGATCCATCTTACGTAGTAGAACCTTGAAAGCATAACATCTTTGTTTGTTGATTTCCCATTTATTCCCTTCTCATTTCCAGAGACTGACAAGCCTATTACTTAAAACTATGTGCTTCTTTTTCTTCTATTTTCTTCTCAAGATACTTTAATCTATTTAGGCATTTCATGCTCAATCTTAATATTCGTGTGAATAATGAAAAGTTTATGGAGAATTAATTCATTTATTGTGTTCTGCAGTAATTTTTTTGAGCTTCTGGGCTGAAGTGCACTACAACTCAATCTATCCTTTTGGGGGTAAATATCTGCTCCTCTACTTTCGAAAGTTAGTTTTTGTGCTAAAGCAATTAGGCAGAGAAAAACTAGAAGTGCCTGTAATTGTGCAGGATGCAGCTTGCTACTGCGTATGTGTTCAAATGGAAAAGACTACTTTAGGTATAGGCCGGCCTTCTCTCAAGTAGTAGGATGTTTGAATAGGGCAGTGACTGTTCTGTTGTAGAGTTTTGATGCAGGTTCTAACAGAGGGTTAACACCCTTTATCTTCTAATTATTCCATGGGATAGGATAAAGGTGATAATGGATACATGACCAGAGGTTTAATAAGTTATTTTATATTGGCAGCTATATTATTACTCTGTCAACTTGGTC